TTGAATGGACAAGGCAGGCAGAAGTATACAGGTACAACCTCTCACACATCTCATATATATCTGTGTGCTGTTATTTTTTTATTTTTTTTAATCATAAAAACGTTTCACACCATGAATTTCAGTTTACTTCTATTTTAACAGGGAAGGGTAATAGAAAGATGTGTAGAAATAGAAGTATGTTTTTAAAAAACACAGGCATTGATTTTTATTAAATTTTTTCACACCTACCGCTGCAGAAGGCAGCTGCTTAAAGCCCAAAGATGTACTGATTTGCTACTGACGTTAAACTAATGAAAGAACACAGAACTTAATCTAATCTTGGGTCAAAAATCTGGACACTTAACTGATTGTTACACTGCGTCAGTGCTCCTCCAATACTTGTTCCATAATTGGCCATCTCATTTCAACAGTTACCCTTTCAGATAATTCAGTAATCAAAGTGTTTTGAATGTTTTGAATGTTAGAATACCCATCATAGATGGAGGAAATGTTTTGGGTATGAAGCATACAAAGTAAAGCATTTCTGTAAATGTACTTGAGTTGTTGTAGCTGCTAAGATGGCTCAGTCACTCCAGGGTCAAACGGATGTTTGACTGTTGTCTTTGCTCTGTAAATGTAGCCCAGCTAGTGAAGCCCAGTAAAGGTGTCGTGATGCCTGTGAAGAAGAGGAAGCTGCCTGATGCAGATGATCATGAGCAGAACTGTAAAATTACGAGGTAAACGGATATATCTGCTCACACTGAGGGTGTCCTGTGTCTGCACCGCTAACCTTTGTCTTCTATCCATCCTACGTGCTTCTTGAAACTTTATTGATTACCTTGTGAGTTCGATGCTCTCTCAGCTGGGTGTAGGCTTTCTGAGCCCTTCACCTTCTCCTCTTCTTCTTCATTGTGTATTAAGAGTGTAGATGAATGCTCATGCTGCAGTCAGTGAGGATGTAGCCAAAACACATATCTTCACACATGTTGTGAGTTATACTCCTTACTAATCGAGGCACTCAGCACATACTTGTCATCTTAATCAGCACTGCCTCAGTCTTCAGGACTGTAGGAGAGTATCTAAGGTGCCACTTTATTAGGTACCTTTGCTTTATTCTTGGATATAAATGAGGTGGATAATCCATCAGTGCCTCAGCTCTGTACATCATAAATGTCTGTGCAGACTTAATTTCAGGTTTTTAATGAAATATGGTGACAGTTTGAGTCTCATGTGAATAATCACCCGAGCCATTTGCATACAGCAGCATCTGATCTGACTTGGTAGCAGTTGATTCTAAACTGGCTGGCTGACTGGATACACCAATGTTCTTGGAGAACATCCAGCTGTGAGGCAGCTGTGGTAACCACTGAGCCACCGCGCTGCCATTAATCTGCAGGAAATACTGACAGGCTGTTTTCTGAGCCACTTTACCCTGTTCAGAGTCAGAGGTGCTGGAGCCTATCCCAGCTCTCACAGGGTGAAATCCTTTGTTGTATTTTTGCTTTGACTGTAGTCCAGCTGTTGTATAGCTGCCATGTAACAACCTCCCGAAGTTATGGCTGCACATTTATCTTTAAAATGTTTGGTCTGTGCTGAAGTTTTACCCGACCTCTGATCCGCGGTCCGAGGTCAATCAACACTGACAAGCCCTTTTCCAGTAAGAAGTGCCTGGCCTGGTTCCATAAGTACGCTGCCCCCGACAAGGTGTTCGGCCCAGAGGCCATGGAGAAGTTCTGTGAGGACATCGGCGTGGAACCAGAGAATGTAAGTCAGCAGCTTGACTCTTAGTCACTCTGCATGTCCCTTACCTGATGAACTCCTGACCATCAGGAGTCATAGGGTAACACTCAGAAAAGAGACTGTGAGGCACTCATGATGTGAGAATGTTTTATGGAGCTTTATTTTAGCAACAAATGTTTTTTTCTGTGAAAAATAAAGATGGTAGGAAACAAGCTTTCTTACACTTGTTTGAATCTACTTTCTTTCCTGCAGATTATCATGTTAGTTTTAGCGTGGCATCTAGAAGCAGCAAACATGGGGTACTTCACAAAAGACGAGTGGCTCAGGGGAATGACGATATTACAGTAAGAAATCTTATTCTTTCAGTTTATTTGTGGTTGAGGTTACAAATACGCTTAAATGTGTTTTCGTCTACATGCAGGTGTGACTGCACAGAGAGATTACAAAGTAAACTTGATTACCTGCGCAGTGAGCTCAACGATGCTGCGACCTTTAAAAATATCTACAGATACGCCTTTGACTTTGCCAGAGTGAGTCTATTTATTTTTTGTTATTATTTGGAAGTTAAGCCTGTAAAAATCCTTGAACATCATTTTGTAATATGTCTGCAGTGTTTGTGCTCCTGACTTTGTGATTGTTATGAGGAAAAGTTGGAATAAAAATAATAATTTAAAAGCACCAAATTATCACAAAATAGTTCCCTATGGGGTGACCATGTTTTAACCGGGAGGAGCAGATGCTACATTTAAACTGAGCTTCTGAAAAGATTTGGTGTGGTGACCATAAGTGAAGCTTAACTTCACCAACACAGGCTTTCAGATCAAGTCTCTGAATTCTGACTCTGAGCTTGATGCAGTGAATCTCCCTGCTGATGCAGCTGGATTTTTTATTTTTTATTTTTTTTAAATAACCATAAATGAGGGAGTGTCTTTTCAATTTCAGTGCAGCAACCGTGCAGTTAGGTTTAACTGTTATGACTAATGGGATTGTGGGGAAACACTCATCAGCGCATTCATGGGATCATAAGAGATATGAACTGCTGCACTTATTACTGAGCTCACTGAGTTGCTCCTGTCCTCAGGATAAGAACCAGAGGAGTTTGGACATGGACACGGCAAAATTAATGCTGGCTCTGCTGCTGGGAAGGTCATGGCCGCTCTTCCCAGTCTTCAGCCAGTTCCTGGAGGTAAGTCTCATTGCTCTGATAAAGGAGATGTGAAATCAGCTCATCTTCAAACAGCTCTTCACTCCTCTCTCTGGGTTGTTTCCTCACTGTCTCCCTCCCATTAATGTCTCCCACAGCAGTCCAAGTACAAGGGATTGAATAAAGACCAGTGGTATAATGTTCTGGAGTTCAGCCGGACCATCAACCCAGACCTCAGTAACTACGATGAGGATGGAGCTTGTGAGTACCACTTGTACTAGGAAAATATTGCAGGCCTCTTTCACAGAGCTGCTTCAAGGCGGGAATATAAACCTGTATGGAATAGGATGTGTTGGCCAGTTATCGCCCCACCTGGACCATCCAGGGCTTTGGTTTGGGAATGGCCGCTGTCGCACAGTTTGTCATAATACACAAGAACACATCTGGATCGGTTCACACTCTTAGGACAGAAGGATGAGCATGTTATAATTCTGGGGGGTCTTCCGTGATGGCTCACTCATTTCTGTGAAAGGAAATCTAACATCTGTCCATCACTTGTAGTCCAAAATGCCACAGCAGTCCTGATGTTAATAAATTTACACCAGCTTCCCTCCATTTTTGTATTGATTTTAAGATTCTTTTATTTTCTAAGTTTTAAATGGCCAGCTGTTTAAGCAAACTTTTCAACATGTATAACTGCAAAAGAATGTTAAACAAGCATTTCAGTTTTAAACCTTAAAATGGCTTCATGTCTTCACTGAACAGTAATAACGTGCAGGCGCACCTTTGTCTATAGTTACGGGTTTATTTGTTTTTTGCAGGGCCGGTGCTTCTAGACGAGTTCGTGGAATGGCGAAGAAGTTGGTCAGCTTCATAGCATTAACAGCCACAAAAACAAAAGGATGAAGAGGGAGAAAACTGAGAACCCGGGAAGGAGTCTGGAAAAAGGTTTCATCCACACATACACAGAAATATGGAGTACAACCTCGTCTCTGTGGACCTTCGAATCCCGTTAGAGGCGCCTGTGCACCATCGTCCAAATGCTAAGAGGCCATCCTCCTGCTGAGAAGACTTTTTTTTTTTTTTTTTTTTTTTTTTTTAAATAGTGTTAATTTCAAGAAAAGAAACTGTCAGAGGGAAAATGAACTGAGAAGAGCTGTGGAATTTATGTTAAATGTTTTTTGTTTTTTGTTTTTTTTCCCCATTTTTGTGTCTTGTTTATAGAAGTTTTCACAGTAATAAAAAGGAAATGGAAATTCATCAAGCTGCAGAGCCCAGGTTTCATTCGCCACTCCTGCACCGTGTTTTCACACTAAGGCATGCAGAAACTGGTCAGCCTGAAGAAATTTACCATTTCTTTTTTAGGTGTCAGTCCAGCAACCCCTGAGCAGATACAGCAGTTATCCCTTTACCTCCTAACACTTCTTATTAGGCCACATCCTGCCAGATAACCAGCACCTAACCTGCTAGAAGCAAGTCTCACCACTCTACAGCTATCCTGAAACCCCTCTGGGCAGTTAATTTAATGAATGCTTTAAAAAAAAAAAAAAAAAAAAAAAAACCTTTAAAGGTACTTTCTAAAATTACCAGCTGCAAATGTCAACTAAAACTGTGACCAGCAGGGGGAGTTGTTTCCCCAGAGCTCATAATGTTTCACATTTCTTCTTGGACTTCTCCACATTTACTCATGAGACTCTTTCACCGCTGTAAATAAGAATATATTCTTGGCTGGTTAACGCTTACTGTTTATGTTGTATGCCTTGCACGGTATAATCTGGGCCCTACAACAAATTTTGAACTGCACATCAATTTAGAATGTGTAAACCAGCGGTACCCAACCCCCGGGTCCGTGAGTCGTTTGGTACCGGGGTTGTTGGGCTCGGGTGTGAAATTAATGGTTTTCAGGGTTTTTATTGTTAACTCTGTTTCCCTGGGTTTTTCCCATGTTGTAGTTGTGTCTTATTTTGAAAGAATTATTTACGCTTTACCGTAGCGACCAGAGAGCGTTAAGGGGCAAAGAGGAGGATGTTACTCTCAATGTTGTTGGTGCATTTTAGGAGGATGCTGCTAATAAAGTTGCAAAATTACACAGTTAATTTGCGTTTATTATTATATTTACAAAATAACAGTTTTTGTCTTGATCGTATCATTTTATTTGTTGTATTTATCCACGACACCTTAAAGGCCGGTCTGTGAAAATATTGTCTGACATTTAACCGGTCTGTGGCGCTAAAAAGGTCGGGGACTGCTGGAGTAAACGGCCTGCCTTAATAAGTGGAAGATTAATCCTTAATTAAGAGAGCAGGGAGAGTCAACTTATTTCCCCCCCAAACACAAACTAAATTTACTATCTGACATCATGTCCTGTTTTATACATGAAAGCATAATGATTTAATCATTACAAGTAGCGAGGACATTCTCAGAAGCGGCAAGTAATTTACTCACATTTCATCCATACACAAGTCACAGTTTAACTGCTCACACTTAAAGGATATAATCAGTCTTATGCTGTTTTACTTTTTCATAGTTTAGAGATTTGCCCCTATTGTCCTTCAAAAACCATCAGGTGTCAGTCTCTGCAGAAACCTGGGTGATGGGAACAAGCATTAGTGCAGGAAGGGTTCTCATTAGTTTCAGATGTCACCACAGTCCCAATAAAAATGCACACAGACATGGCATGTACCACTTCAGTTTCAAGATTCCTTAAAATACCTATTTTCCTTGACTTGACCCAGGCTGGTGGATCTAAACTTCATCTGAACAGATACACCCGTATGACGGCGTACAAGTTAAAATCATTGACCCGAGCCATTATGTAAGATTAACTTACTTGTTGTGTCACCTTGTGGTACAAAGTGGTATTACAAAAGTGAAGCTTAGTTCAGCTTCAGCTGTAATCTCATCAGCAGGATGCAAAGATGATCCAGGATGAAGTCATAGCATTACTTTGATGATGGCTTTAGCTTTTTTTTTTTTTTTTTTTTTAATTTATGCAAAAATTGATTCCCAGATATAAAAAGTGCGTGTGCAGATTCACCCGTCAGACCTCATAAAAATACAGTGTCCAGTCTTAGGGTATGTATACATCGATTCCACACCCAACATATCAGGTACAGGTGTGCATGATATCAGTTCAGCCACTGGGAGATGGCTGTTCTGCTTCGTTCAGGTGTTTACAGCATAACTAATAACTTCAAAACATGAAAGTCCTTTTATATTGTACATTTTTGCAGATTTTCTGAGAAAATCAAATCAGTGCAACTCAGATCTGCAAGTAAGCATGAGTGGAAATTATAATATATATAGTTATAATGCAAATATAACTTATGACAAGTTATAAGTTTGTGGCGCTAAATGTGGCGACCCTTCCAAACAAAGTTTGTAGAGCTGGACTCGACTTGAGCCATGGTGTTGTCATTATTTTGTCCACTCTCTGTAGCATCTATCAAATGTCCATGTGGAAGTTTGACGTCTGCTCACTATCCTTCTTCCTGTTGACTCTGGTCCAGTGGCCCTGTTGAGGCTGCAGCCATGATGGCGGAGAGGCGCGTCAGAGAGACGGAGCGCTGTTTGAATCTGGGGGCGGGGAGAGGAGCGTGGGGGCCAGGGTCTGGAAGGTGGCCGTATCGCTGGCCGTCCTCGTCATACTGGTACAGGCGGATGACGCGGCTGCGGCGGGCTGGGCGTGGTGGGGAGGGCGGCAGCGCTCCTTGATCGGTCACCTCCTGGTTTTTGCCTCCTGTCGCCTCATCTTCACTTTCAAAAGTTGACTTTTCAGAATCTCTGGAAATCTCCGTCTCACCATCTTTCTCCTCACCGGCCGCCGCCGCCTCCTCTTCCTCCTGCACCATACTCCTCCTCACCTCCCTGCTCTCGCTTCCATGTTTGTCCTCCTCATACTCATCTGTTTCACTTTGACTCTCTCCATCCTCTCCTATCAGATACAAGCGACCAAACCGGCTCTCTTTCTCCCCCTCTTCTAACTCCTTATCACTGCCTTTATTTCTGTTCTCTGCGCATCTTCCCTGTTCTTCCTCCTCCTCCTTGTAGTTACATCCTTCCAGATATGCAGTGGTTTCTGGTGGCTCGTCTTCCTCTCGTTTGTGCCGGAAGCTTCTCTGAGGTTTGGCAGGAGGAGACAGGTTAGGCGCAGAGTTGTTGTGCACCACCTGGTCGTTTTCAGAGGCCGGGTTCTCGTTCGTGGGCGGCAGGGTTGTCATGCTGACCTCGGGGCCGTGGTCGGTTGTGTCGCTTTGGCGCTTTCGTCCTCGTTTTGGTGACCGCAGCTTTGCCCTGACTGCCCCTGAACACCTGAGAGGAAAAAACAGACCTTTAATGTAAAAAGGGTCAGTCCACATGTGGTGTTCTCATTGGCTCACACTGAGATTATCTAGTGTTTGCGTCTTTCTCTATACTTGTTTAAAAATACATTGATTCCAATGATTACAATGCTGGTGATTTAGCTTGGGTTAAAACTTCTTCAAGAGGCACCAATAATGACGTAAGTCCCTGAACTCACCTGAGAACATGAGTCCTGCTCAAAGCTCCAATGCTGAATCCCAACACAAAGGTCAGCAGCACTGATGCAGCCACAGCTCCTGCAAACAGCTCGGCTGAAACACCTGCCTGCTTCGCCTCCTCAGACCCAGCATCCCTCCTGAACCTGAATGCAGCGCAGCGGCTGCTTTGCTCGTATTCTCCCAGTTTTTGAAGGTTTTGACCATCGTGACCGACGTGGAGCTCATACGGCCACAGTGTAGTTCCCTCTGTGTGCTGCAGGAGGCAGTAGTACAGGCCACTGTGGAGAGCACTGGTGTTGGGGACCAGCAGGCTCCCGTCATGGTGCATGACGACGGGGTCCAGTTTACCATGGGAACCAGGAGTGTGGAGGTCTCCAAAGGGGGTGTGCCAGTACTGGACCACACCTGCATATGAGAGAAGAAGTACCAAAAGACAGAGAGTGTCACAAAAACCTTTCCTTTGTGTCTCACGTGGCAATGCTGCAGTTCCTCTTTCATCCACTCGAGACTGGTTCCAACATAAATAATAAATAGAATCCATCCATCTTTTATAAACAGTTATGGTTTATCGGTATTGAAATGGGCACAAAGCTATGGCTGTAAGCACAGAAGCTCCGCCCACCTGCTTTTCAAACCCTCTGTTTGTGAGGGGTAGCTGGTCAGAAGAAAGGCGCCTTAAAGGGGAGGAGCTAAACAGCTGCCTTTTTTTTTTTTTTTTTTTTAAAGAAAATTTTAAATAAAGGCCTTTCTGTTTTAAAAATCATTGGTTACACTTCATAAACATGATAATCAACAGTAATAAGTGGGACACCACCAACGTTCAGTTCAGTGGAAGTTTTCTCTCATGTCAGAGCTGCTGGTGTCAGAGACCCAGAGAGACACAAATTTTCTGATTTATCAACCAAAGAGACAAAAAACAGAGTAAACATCTTCAGGTGTGTTAGTTTGTGTTAGCAGCTGGATGCGTGTTCGAATGTTGGGTGTGTGGTGGAGACAACAGCTCTTATATGCTCCAGGGAGGCCGGCCAGGTGCACTAAATAACTCCACCTACTGAGAACCTGCAACACAACACAGAGGGACACACAGCAGGCGCAGTGGGCAACCCCATCCACCTACTACACCTGATTTAAACACAGTGAACATCTGTAAGCATTATCTGTGTTTTATTGTGTAGTTGCGTCTGATTCACAAACCAGCTATTTAGCAGCTATACTTGAATAATTAAAGTTTCATTGTTAGCCAAAATTATTATAAAGTGTTATCGCTTTAGATTCCTTTAGATTGGTTTCTATTAATGTACAGTCTGAAATATTTACAGCAGGAACGTGACCGCTTTCTACATTTAACAGAAGTCAGCGTTTGCCTTCAGAGAGCAGAGAGTGAGATGGAGTCTTCACTCACCTAAGTCCTTTCCATCTCCACAGTGTAAAGTCAACTCCACCTCTGGATGACCTTTGACCCGACAGGTGGGGGCCACAGTCAGAGTGCCCTGGCCGGTAGCTCCTCTTCCTGGATTGGCTGGGACGGCGAGGAAGGCTGTGAAAGTTAACCACCTGGTTAACATTTTAAACCTGCAGAGGAAATAAAAGTCAGCTGGTTTTTACAGTTTGAGGGCAGTAAAATACACGAGTGTGTGATCGCACATGAAATTAAATGTATGCTTCTTTAGTGTCCAAATTCAGTCTAAAAACAGCAGCCAGTAAAAGTACAACGATTCAAGTTAGGAAGAAAGTGGAGCTTGTAGATGCAGAACGGAGCTGAAAGAAAGTGACCTGCAAGTCAAAAGAAGAGCAGCTGAGAACATTCCCAGCTTGTGGTAAGAAGCTTTTAGTTTAGAAGGTAAATGCAAACAAGGGCGAAAAGCTAAAACAGCTTGTTACAGAAAACAGCCAGGATAAAATAAAGACTACTGTGAATCGTGTATCGTGCAAAGTTACTGTGGCAAGATCCAAAAAAAGAAGCAGTCCCATTACTTCCATCAAATTCCTGCTCTGACGAGTAAAATACTTGAGTGAGCTGTAAATTTAATTACAACAAGCATCTTGGCCGCACCATATAAGATGCATCAGGAGTATATCAAATTGTGAGTCATGCAAAACCACTCTGTTCTGTTAAAGGTGTAACAGGAGTGCTTGTAAAGGACTTTACTGTCATTTCTATTCAAAGTCAGCTGTTTAAAGTGATGATTCAGGTTTTTTACTCACAATAAAAGAGCACCTGAACACATCACAGGACCCCTACAGCTTTAGGAGAAACAAGTCAGTGCGAATAAATCAGATGACAAACCGTCCACAGTGAGACAGTATTTTAGAAAATACCTCAGTTCTGCTCTCAGCCTTCTTAAATTATTTTATGAGGTGAACTGTTGAGTGAGTTGGTTCACAGCAAACTAACTCAAACCAAAAAGAGTGAATCTATGAGTACAGTTTAAATAATAAAGCAGCTAAAGTAGAGCCCACGTGTTTCATATTTACCTGATGTGATTCCTTCCTAATGTGGTCGTGTTATCCCTTTAAGTCTGATCTCGTGGCTCTGATGCTCGTGCTGCTGCTACAGTTTCCTCCAGCAAAGTGTAAAGTGCAGTTTCTCACATGACTCTGTGGATGTCTTCTGCTGTGATGGTGTTAAAGATTAATAACGTCACACTGACAGTGGCTTTGTTTTCACCTGCCTTCTGTACGACCTGCACTTCTCACACAACTTCAGAATAACAGTAAATGGACTGTGAGGTCAGGGAGTACCCTAACCCCTTTAACGCCATAGTGTAAGATAGTACACTATGAGTTGGGCTTAAAGGTATATAGATATAGAATAAAGATGCAGTTTTAAATTGTAAACATTTTACATCGGGTAAGGTGTTGAACAGAGCTGCTTTAAACTGTTTTACTTGCTATAAACAAACACAGAAAACAGGTAATTATGTGCTTGTGTTATTTCTCCCTGTGCAGACAGGTATCTGCCTGTGGTTGATTACACTGATACAGTACATGTACGCACATCCTCCTCGGATATACAGAGTCTTGATTCTTTGTACCACTGACCTCTATTTTATAAACACAAATGGATGGCTCCCCAGAAAGTACTAAAAGTAAGCTGGGAGTACACCTAAACTCATAACAGTTCATTCTGGCCTTAGCAAAAGTGTCTTCAATCACAGATTAATTGCTGGTTATTCACATTTGAGTGTGGGATACTGGACCATGCTAAATAAGATGTGCTAATCTGAACGAGCTGGGCTGAGGGTACCTATGAAACATGAAATAGGCCAAGCAAAGCCTAAAACTGTATAGAAGTAAATCTGAAGAAAGTAATGGCAGCACAGAAGAGACTGTGATTTGAAACCTCTTTTAAAATAAAGGGTTTACTGAAGATGAATAGCACAAGCTGTGGAAACAAAGAAAAGCAACACCTGGATATGAGATTGAAACGAATCCAGTGCCTCAGTGTGTGTGAAGCTGCAAGAACAATGCAACAACTTCAGGCAACACGCATCAACTTTCTCTTTTGTAAAATCACTGAGGTGACAGTACTCACAGGTGTTGTGGAAGAGTGTAGCGATACATCTGAAACACAAAAGAGAGGTTTAAAAATGAAGGTGGAGCAGCGAATCCACCAGTTGGAGGAGTTTGTGGCAAAAAGAACGGAGAACCAGCAGCCTTGGAGAGAAGACCAGGTGATGCCTGACTACACAGCTCAGGTGATCTGTCACACACACCTACACCAAGTCTATGGAAACTTCTCTTGAATTGAAAGATAAAAAGAAGTAGAAGTGTGGTAAAGGACTCACTAATGGTTTTTATGAGGAAGAAAGTTATGCATGGTCTTTCTAGGTCATATTACTTGCTAGTTCTTGCTTTATTTTATTTTATTTTATCTGTTTCTGTTGTGCTACCTCTTTCTGAAATAATTTGCTTAACCTTGTAGGGGTTTGTCTTTGTGGTCTCTATTCTTTTCATGAAGGCATTTTAATGACAGGGGATTTATTGATTAAATAAAACTTCAATTAATATTGCTAAAATGTTCATGTTTATTATCAGCAGTAGTAGCAGTAGAAGTAGTAAGTATGATGCATGTGTTTATGGTTCTCTCATGTCAATTACTGGAACAGACACCAGAGGTCAGCGTTGTTTAACAAAAAGCCCAGAAGGCACACGTCTATGAATAACTTACAGCTTAAAACATAGTAAGACGTTTTTCTTGTTTAAAATTTTAATTGTAAATAATTCCGTGATGAAAATCATCTGATCTTAATTAATTTATCACCTGCTGTTACTGAATTTGTTTTAATTTGATTTAATTTTACAGTTTTTAATGGTTATTTCAGTGTTTTGTTTACAGCGTTAAGATTTTTTGTGTAAAGTTAACAGTTTTTTTTTATTTGTTTGGTTAGTTTATTAGAATTAGGGGGGTATTCCTTATAGTTTTTGTGTAAATTTTACAGTTTTTTTTATATATTTGTACTTTTTTCTTTAAAATAAACATTTTTTCCAAAGTAAAGTTGACAAATTCTTTTTTTCTCTCTGTATTTTTTGTAAAATTGCTAGCTTTTTAAAAACTGTCTTTTTTTTTCTTGTAACTTTGCTTGTAAAGTTTAATTTGTACGTTTTTATCTCATAAATGTGCCACCCCTCCTCAATCTCTACTTCGATTTAGCGCTTTAATCCAAAAATGATTAAAGGAGAGAGGAATGGTTTGTCTGAGCGGTACGTGAACGCATCTCCTCCCTCGGTGAAGGCGGGCTGGTCGGTGTGACAGCAGCAACGCAAAAGCTCCTCCTGCCTGTTTCTGTGTGGTTTTTATTTTTAGGGTCGCAAAGTAACCAAAAGAAACGTCCTCACATCACCGAGCTGACAGCAGGGAGAACACGCCAAAACCACCCGTAAAAAGAGCGAGAGACGCGGAGTGAAGCAGCCAGGGAGCCCGAACCAAAACACAACCATTTCCAGGTGAATATAATTAGTTACAGCTAACTTGGTGCTGAAATGCAGTTACTTCTGCAGTCGTAAATCACTCTGGAACTCTTATTAAATACTTTTTGGGTTGTTGTTTTTTCATGCAAATATATTTTATTAAATTTGCCGCTTTTTTCCTTAGCAAACGGGACGCAGAACTGTTGGAGTCTTTGCGTTAAAATAAGAAAACGCTGGAAAAAGATGAATATTATGCTACAGAGCTGCCCTACAGCAAAGGGCTCTCTGTATTTGTTCACGCTTTCGATTTCCTCGCCTTCACTTAAGATCACAAGATTTAGGAATAATAAAAAAAACTTCGAGCAAAACTTCATCTTTTAAGCTAGCTAGCTTTCACATACACATCCGGCGCGCCCTTCAAAATAAAGGCAACGATTAAAAATTGTTGCACGATTTTGAATGGGTTTAGTAGTCTAGCTCGTGGTATAAGACTACTACAAACAAAAGATAAAATAGAATAGAAGTGTTTGCGTTGTGTAGTTTCAAGAATAACGAAAGAAACGTTTAGGGATATTGTAAGTCATTTTGATGGTTAACGTTTGAGTTTCCGGTTTGATTTTAATCTCTCTCCGGGTGTCTTTACAAAGCTGTAAACATCGAAAGTCTTCATTAATGTCATCTCATCTGAGCCAGAGTGAGGCAGGTGGACTGTGGTGCAGATTATTGTGAAAATTCTTCACCCCACACGCATTTTTGTGATGTCACATGATATCACACATCATGCGATGTTTCAACATCTGCTTTGGGCTGTTTGTGTCACACATCCGTTGTGTGTTCGTGCCCGCATAAAACCACACCCATGTCTGGCTGGTATTGGTCTTATTGCTCCATGGTTAAAGCTCTCTGTCTGTAGATACCAGGGGTTAATCCAGTCACGTCACAACACAGTAGCTTTACAGCTGCTGGAAGGAGGAAGATGAGCGACCTGCAGCTGTTATTAGCAGACTGATGTAAACAGATGTGTTCGAGTCTTGGTGTTTGGTGTTTGTCCTGAAACGGCTGCAGACGCTACACCTAATGAAATATGTTGTCTTTCCTTCACCTCTTGCATAAACCTGTCAACAAATTGACTTCTTAAATCTGAGTTTAATAAATTGCATTGGTTAGCAGATTCCATTGGGTGACAAATTAAAGGAAAAACCCAAACCTCTGAACCAACTTTTTAATTTTTGGCTCTCCACTATAAAAGTCCTGAAAATGAGGGTTGATTTGTTAATAACTCACCTGTTTGAATTTCAATATATATATAGTTAGGGGCGTGGCTGTTTTGACTGACAGGTGTCCGATCAGTGTCTGTTAGACCTCACCTGAGAGACTCAAAGGCTCCTGTCGACTGTGTGAGTGTGTTTGAGAGGGTGTAATTGGTGACTTAGGGAGCATTTGTAAAGCTTTCCTTGCCTCCTGCAGTTATCTGATAAATATTGGGTTTTGTTATGAGGTACGGCCCACATTTTTATTCTTGGGCTCTTTTACAGTAGCTTTGCACTATTCGTAGTTCAAATGAATGCTTGTATGTGTTGCACTCAGTTTTTTTGCAGCCCATCACTTCATCCTCTGTGTGAAACAAATAGTTTGACTCTTTCACCTGTTTATTACCACCTTTTTGTAAACAGGGTAAGTGATAAAGCCCAAGCCCTCTTTTAAATAGACGCCCTTATAGCAGTCTGAATAAAACAATAAAGGCACAAAGGTAAAAGAGATGTAAAACAATAGAAAATAAATCCATTCAGATAAAAATAAATCC